TCCTAGCAAATATTTCTAGGCATGTTCTATAAAACATCTGTAGACCCAGGGGTGAAAAAAAAAGCTTGCTTCTTTTTAGCTTCTCAGTTTCTACCATTTGCACTGCTGTCAGCTGAGAGTACAGAGCCGTCTAGGAGGAGATCTTTAAAGTATAGAATGCTAGTAGACTCCAAACCCACTGCTTGTCGGCAAACATGCTCCCACCCACAGGACCAGAGTTTGTTTTCCTGCTATCTGTTCCTTTCCTAAGAGTTGGCTTCTCATGAGAAGCAATCTAGTTTGTCAAAGAATAAAGATCCATAGAATTTATGGTAAGAAGAGAAGGGAGGGAAAAATATCAGCAGCACTCTTCCTGCCCCCGCAGCTGCATCATGCCAGCTGTGCAGCGTAAGGTGGCTGTGAGGAAGCTTTACCTTGCAAGGCTGGTACCAGGAACAGTTTTGGGTAACAGAAATGGCAAGGAGATATGCTGCCAGCCGAGGTGAAAAATTCAAAGTGTGTCACTTCAGCACCACAGGAGAAACCAGGAGCTGTATCCCCAGGCAGCACTGGGACAGCTGTCCCATCCATAGGCATGAAAACAGGGATCAAAATTAATTAAAAACAGGGAAGTGGCTAGTGAGTTTACTAGCAAGCGCCACTGCAACGCAGACACATGGACACTTTCAAATCTCTCAAGAGATGAAACAAACAAAAAAACGCCCATCCCCTCCTGTCTCTGCTCCAGCTGGAATGGCCAGGAGCATCTGGGACACCCTGAGGATTTCCTCACTTGTACGTGAGCTGTTCTCACCACAGCCACACTTGCTAAAGGCGTCTGCTTTTGTCATTATGTTTTCCTACACCAGAAAAATACAAAACAGAGGGCTGATAGATCTAGCACTAGCTTTTGTCCCCTTCATGCTTTGTCGATGCCAAACAACTGATCCCTGGGGTCCATTTGAACACTCTCATCCTCATGAGCATTTGTGAGGCAGAAAAAGAAAGAAAGAAAAAGCAATCTGACCTACATAGATGTGTCTGTTGACTTTGGACTGTTTTTCATCAGACAGTGTTCAAACACTTCGCTATCTCCGAATGGATCCTCGTGATTCCTAATAAATCAAACGAAAATCCGAAACAGAAGGCTAACAGAAATTTTTCTTAGGTTTTGTCCTCACTGGAAAACAGATTTCTCAACATTACTTCAGCTTTTTCCTTTCTTTCATTCTTTCTTTCTTTTTTCTTTCTTTTTTCTTTCTTTTTTCTTTTTTTTTTTTGACCACACATGTCTTTAATACTCAGAAAAGGTGCGAGTCAGATTGACATATCTTCAGGCTGTTGTCCTCTCCCTGAAGATTGAAGGTAGGGCTGGCCTGTGACAGTACAATTCACTCCTCATGAGCTGCTGATGCGACAGATGCTGCTGCAGCCCAGCTACTGTCAGGGGTTGATTTGTCTTTTCAGTTTTAGACTGTTTCTGCAAATAACTAGGAGGAAGAAAAAGAGAGGGCAAGAAGTGCTAGCTGCAGCTTTTTGCTATTGGTTGTGGTTGTTTTTTTTTTTTCTCACGAGTCACCTATACAGTCTGCTCAATTTCTGTGTGAAACAGAAGTGGCCAGCACAGCACATGGTGTGGACGTGCTGCTAGCATTCTCTGGCCAAGCCCAAGGTGAAGATGTGGCAGCACCAGCAGCAGAGCCACCTGGGGCCTTGGGGGTGATGGTGCACAGGTGACAGCTGGGGAAGTCAGAGGAGTTACCCAGGGAGTGTTGCTCTTCAAGATCCAGATCTACATCTTGCAGAACTATCACTCAGAAGGGAAGTAAAACCTGGTGAACGTGATTTGCGACACAAAGGAAAGACAGAAAAGTTCAAAAGATGTTCAAAAAACCAAATTATTATGCAGCTCTGAAAGATTATCCAGTGATTTGCGACACAAAGGAAAGAGAAAAGTTCAAAAGATGTTCAAAAACCCAAATTATTATGCAGCTCTGAAAGATTATCCCACTTTTTGTCTTACTGAGCCACAACCAGCTGAAGACCTGAGAGGTTCCCAGTACCTCAGGGCAAGGCTCTCTCTGCCTCCAGGAACGGGTAGACGGTGTCATGAGTAAGTGTTTGTTCTGCATCTCCCACTAGCTGCCAGTGAGTGCAACATGGACACAGTCCCATGCAATATCTGACATGTTATATGACTATTTTCCATGTATATAAACCACGTCGGGGTGCGCGTTTGCAAGCCTGTGTGTAGGCGCATTATTACATCATGTATTTTTACATTGTTTAATTGACTGTGAATGTGGATGTACCATGGAAATATTTTTTCATTGAACTGATACAATGTGGAAACACACTGAATTGTGCGTCCTGCAAACCTTTTAAATGTGCTGTAGCATAAACCAAAGCATCTTGTGCTTTAGGATCAAAAGCAGGAGTGGTGCTAGGGAAAAGTGCTAGAAAGCTTCAAACTGAAGGTTTCTGGTTTTGTCTGTTTGTTTGTTTGATGAATGCTAGCCCCAAAATATTTTTTTTTTTTCTATATGGTAGTTTGAGTGTCATCACAGCACATGATGAAAAAGTATAACTGTAATCTGTATCTTGCACTTAACCTTTAGAATTGCCTTTAGCTGTTAGAGGAATTTATAGTACATGAAAAAGTGACAACTTCAAAGGTCAGAATAAAGGATTTGCACACCTGCTGGAATACTGGAGGTAAAAGATTAAATAAGAACATACAAACTGTTTTTTTCCCAATTTGAGTACCTGTGCTATAGATACTCACAGCACTTGCTGAAAGAAAAAAGCAGATGTGTTTCTTTTACGAAACTTTCCTAAAGAAGTAAAAATTAGAAAATTAACAGATTTAATTTTATCTTGATTTTTCTCTGCATTTTTTAACACCGTAAGAGAACAAATGGTCTAGAAATGATCATGTAAGTCTTTCTTGTGACCTGTTAAGATAAGCCTAGTGAATATAATTTTGAAAGACAAGCAGTACTCAGTATTGCAAGCCTTATCATTGAGTTATTCTTCCTTACAAGCAGGAAGATGGAAATAGTGATAGAGAATATGACTCAAGGCAAGTGAGGGTTGCAAAATTAGATCCTTGGCTGCATGGAGACACTTACATATATTTGGATGAAGTCACTAGGGGTATAAGATCAATGAATGAATATTAAGACATATTAATCCTGAGTTTAATGTGGCCTTAATTTACTGCAGTTTAATCCTCCTCATTTTCATTTTCTGCTAGGAACTTGTACTTTGAAACATGAAAATTGTGATATTGCCAAAGTGCTTTGATACTGTGTTCCAATAAGCTTGTCAAATGTAAAACTTCAGTCTGCAAGATTAATTTCTCCATAATCTTGAAGGCTGCTATTTTGAAGTGCGTTTTGGAAGACTCTAATGTTGTAGCATGAAATAACAGAATGATTTGGTGTCCTATTTGGTACGTGGCTTTCACTCCAGAAGACAGTCTCTCAGGACACTCTTTACGCAACAAACTACTTTTTTGAGTAACAAAATCTGTAAGTGTACCTTCACTAGTGCCTGGAAATGAGAGTTACTAAGAAGAGGTAACTAGAATATGCATAACTCACAGATGATTGCTGTTTTCAGTAATCTGATATACTTTGTCCTATCCACACAGTGCTCAGTTGTGCTACAATAAATACCAAATATTGAAACAGAAAACTCTTTGCCAAGGAGAAAGAATCTGAATTTGAACTGCTGTGGAGTAGTAGATAGTAGTTGAGCTTTACCCCCGCCAGCCCCCCATCCAGATTGTTTCCATATCTGGTTTTGTGTAATTAGTGTTTTCCTCTCTGCCTTTTTATCAGCGTTATCCCTTGGCTTACAGTGAAAATATTGCTCCCAGCTGATACAAAAAGCAATATAGCAAATATCTTTTCCACAAAGTAAACATCTTGTCCAGGATACACCTAGGAAGGACCTGCATTTCACACTAAGGGCTTAGGCAGAGCTTGATCCATGTGGGCACATCAGTCCATCTCATTATTTTCCTCAATAAATGAGTGTGAATCATCTTTTGACTTTGGTCAAAAGCACAGTCATCTAATATTAACTATTCTTTCTGTGGAGCCTCAGCATATCTCTTCATCTCTACATCCAAATTTAAAAGGATGTAATCTCCATTTTCCTAGAAATAACCTTGTTTCTATTCTTCAGCTGAGGCCCTTTATTTGGTCACCATGGTGGCTGATTGGATGAGACCTTTGAATTTGCAACTTCTTTGATAGTCAATATTTGTGCCCTGGACAAGTAAGGTACAAAAAGGATGAAAAAGCTGATGGAGATAAAAGACAAATCCATGGGTGGATGTTATATGACAAATAAAGCGAACAAAATTGTCTCAAAAGCTTTGGTTTACATGAATGCTGAAATAGTCTTGGGATGCAGCAATCTGGAAAAGACCTCCTTTTGTCACTTTCATCTTGATATAATGAAAGAATCAAGGAACAAAAGCCCCTAGAAGGAATCAAGTGACAGACTTTGAATGATACACAGGTTAGGCAATGGTTGCATGTTGAGTATAAGTACACTTTCAGAACTGATGCAGTTTTGGAAATGGTAGTGTCAATAACAATAGAAAATAACTTTCAATATGTTTTGCTTAACATGAAGGCTCTTACACGACAGTGACAAAAAAACTTCAGACAACTTTGAGCTTTAGAAATCTTCTACCATGATTCATTCAGATTGTGTAAGGATCTTCCAAACTTCTATGCCTCTTTCACAGTTATTGTTAAAATTTCTTTTTTTTTTTTCCCTAAATGAAGACGTATTAACAGACATTAAAAAAAAAAAAAAGGAAAAAAATGAAGAACAAGTATTTTACACAGAATGACAAAAAAAATCATAGACTCTAAAGCCCTTCTGCAGAATACTCTTGGAAAGGAAGGAACTGTGCCTCCAGTACACATACTTGAATAATTCCTCAAACATCCCCATGTCCTTAAGATTTATTTTCAATAATTAAAAAAATGTTTTTAAGTGTAGTTCTCAGGGGTAGAGCTGATGTCCCATGTCAGTATTTCCACTAACATCCTGGATTGCACATTCCATAGAAGAGCATAAAGTGCTATGGCGTTGGATTTTTTTTAATTTAATTTGGAACTTCTTCATCCTTTCCATTATTATTTTTATTATTAATAATTTTTACCTTGTAGCTCCTATATTCTTGTAATGACACATAAGAAGATGTTTAAAGGTCTTCTTGAAAGTAGCATTGCAGAGCGCATAACAAGCAGGGTTGATGGTGCTGTTGATATAACAGAGCCAATAACCTATGGTCCATACAGTGCCAGGGATGCAGGATGTGCAGAAGCTGTTGATGAGCACCATCACGTTGTATGGTGTCCAGGTGATGATGAAGGCCAGGAGGATTGCCAAAATAGTCCTTGTCACTTTTTTCTCTCTAGAAGGAGGTGGTTTCTTTTTGGCTGGCTGCTTTGTCATTTTGACGATTTTCCGGGCTACACTATTCTGCTTCTCCTCCCCGTTGGTGCCTACAATCTCCACAGTAGTGTTGGTGGGAGCACAGCAGTCACCCTTTTGGGACTTGGTGACTATCCTGATGCATGTCAGCTTGGAGTTCTCCACTTTGAGATGGTCTTGGGAGGCAGAAGCCTGGCTGGCATCTTTGGCAGCTTCATCCTCTTTCATGTTGGAAGCGACCACACTGACAGAGGTGGAGTCATTGGAGCTCTCCTTCTCCTCCCCTTGAACACAGTTCTCTGTCACAGTCTCTCCTGTGGTTTTTCCATTCTGAATTTTGCTGTGCTCCAATCCATCCCCACTGGTGGGGATGTTGTTATTGTTTGGTTTCACTATTTTACCTTGGACAAGGCTGGGGGAAACTGTATCTTGGTTTTGGGCAGCTTCCTTTTTCCCTTTCTTTATCCGACTCTTACTGGCTCGAGAGATTTGCCAGTAAAGGACAGTCATGATGATAACAGGCAAATAGAAGGCTGCAATGGCAGTGCCAAAAGTGACAGCAGCATTGGAAAAAAACTGGATGTAGCAATCCCCATCTGGGACAGTCCTTCCTCCCACAATGAACTGCCAGAAGAGAATTGCAGGGGCCCACAGGATGAAGGACAGTACCCATGCAGCAGCAATCATCATGCCTGCCATCTTAGTGGTCCTCTTCACAGGATATGTCAGAGGCTTCGTGACACAAAAGTATCTGTCAAAGCTGATAATGAGAAGGTTCATTACAGACGCGTTGCTGACCACATAGTCAAGAGCCAGCCAGAGGTCGCACACCACAGGCCCTAAGGGCCAGTAGCCTATCACAGTGTAGAGGGTATATAGGTTCATGGAAAAGATGCCAATGATCAAGTCAGCGCAGGCCAGGCTGAAGAGGAAATAGTTGTTGACAGTCTGTAGGTGCCTGTTGACTTTGATTGACACCATGACCAGGATGTTCCCAATTATGGTGACTAGACTGAGAGACCCTGCTACCAGGACAATGAAGACCACCTCAACAGTTTTATAGGGACTCTCCAGAGCCATCACATTTTCAGTGGAAGAGTTTATGTACGTTGAGTTATTCATTTCCGTTCTGCTAACAAGATACCAAATTATCACTTAAGCCTGCAGAGGAAAGAAAACAAAACAAATGCCATCATGAAATTAGTCCCTTTGACTTTAGGAAATGGATTCTAGAAAAACTACATGGAAAGAATTTAAAGGTAGAAGATGTGTGCAGAACGACCAATCAGCTTTGACTAATGAAAACAGCTTGCAACATACAATATCCCCATAGGAATAACACATCAATAGGATACCTCTAAATATGTGACAGAGATACAACATTTGAATCCAGATCTAGACTTTTAAGTTCTCAGATGCATTTTTCTCTTTGTTCTGTTATAAAACTAATAATGTCTTGAAAATTTTGGAACCGGATTTGCATATTGATTTCTTTCCTACCAACGAAGTAGTTCACTTTGTTCATTTCAAACCCTATTCCAAGTAAAAAAATCCAGTCCTAAGAGTATACCATTCTTATAACCTGAGGTGAAGATGGGATTTACCGGGAGCCAGATCAGATGAAGGTAACTCACATTTCCATCTTTCCTTTATGTTCCACTCAGGTATGCTTCTGTGAGGGTTATGGAACAAGTTTGCCTAATTTTCTTACACTGTAACTGCCTTTTGTTTGTCAACACTTGCAAAGATTTTGGCACTGAATCAAACTAAAGTTATTAGTCTGCCAATAAACAAAAAAACGGTAGGTCTGTTGAATCAATAGAATTAGTAAACTCACCTCAGTTGAGTATCTGGCTATCTAGTTAGATGTGTACAATTTTTTTTTTTTTTTTCAGGGAGATTAAAGTGATTTTTTACATTATCTTGACAATTTGTATCTGTGAAAAGGGTGATTGTTTGGGTTTTCTAAACATGAAGAGGTTATCTTGATGCTTGCTTGCTTGCTTGTACTTTCCTCAGTGTTTTCACATCACGGTATTTTTAATCTGTATCACATAAAGCACGACAAAGGTAGGAAATGGATAGCAGGCTGATGATAAAGAAACAGATAAAAATCAGTTCTGTTTATACACAGCGATTCTTTTTGTGCCCTGTATAGCCTGCTGGCAGTACTCAATAAATAGTAATTAAACTACTAGCAATATACATTTTATAGAAGACCAAGAAAACAGCACATGCTTTTGCCTTAAGGAGATATACTATCCTTTTGTACATCCCACATTGGAAGTCAATAGAATGCACTGGAATTGTACAGGCAGTCTCTGAGCGTCCATTATTTATGAGCTGTGCTCAAGGGATTATTAAGGCATGAAGGCCAGATGTGACAGAGAAGTTAGGTTGTTTCTAATTAGAATATTCTCCTTTCTTTCCCCACCCATAAGGCATCGCTTCTTTAAGACAGAGATTTTAAAAGTCGGGGTGCAATCAAAGGAAGACATAAAAAAAATCAATTATGCTTGGCTCCTCCATATATCAGGGATTAAGGAATCCTTCTCTGGCCTCTGTGACTAACCTGCTGATGCACAGATGTATACAATCCATTTCACTAAGAGCAATGCATTTTCACTGTCATTTCATCTCTGCATATTTTCTTTCAGATGCAAAAAAGAAGATGATGCAAAATGTCAGCACAACAGCAAAAACCCTTCTGACCTCTAAGAAAAATAGGCAAGTCTGTCTCTGTGGAAAAGTCAAAATGCTATATTAGGGTAAAAGTTTTCTGTCTGAGGCAACTTTGTGATCTTGTAATTTACACTTAAAGAAATACAACTGGGGGAAGATGGGGTTCATGTATTTGCATTTGCTTTTAAAAACAGCTAAGATTTGTTTGCCAATTCCATGCTGAACACATGGATAAATAGAGGAACATAAGGCTAGACAGACATTTTTTTCCTACTATCTATTCACAGGTACATCCCTGAAATTCTTGGGATCAGGTTCAAGAGAAAAAAAGCGTGAAGAGGGATGCTTTAATTAAATATGTACTTTGTACAGTAAGAATAGGCTGAGTGAAACATAACAAAATTTATACTCTGTGCTAAAAAACAGTCAGGAGAACAACCTAGATATCTTTAATATATAGGACTGTCATTTCAGCAATCGACTGAGTGTTTTTTCACCCAAAAGGCTCACAGCTGAACAGTTGGCTATCCAGTTAGATGTGTAAGATATCAATTTTTTCTCCCAAGCAGAGTTGTATATAAATATTCTTGACAGAATGCATTTTTGATGAAAAGACAAAATAACTCAGAAAGATGTATTGATTTCAAAAAAATTTCAGCTGAAAGATTCTGTGATCCAGGGCTGTGCAGCTACCTCTGGTGACAGAGAGTGAAAGGGGGAGCAAGAAGGGAAGAGAGCGAGAGAGAGGATCAGAGCTGGAAAAATTTACTTTATGATAAGAAAGCAAATGTTTCTTTACAATTTCATTTTGACAAATTGTTTAGAGGTTTTATTTTCATTCCACAGAAGAATTAAGATTAATTTTAAAACCTTAAAACTTGCTGTGAAACAAAATTACCACCTCCCAGCTAACTTCATTCTGAAGTCTTTTCAGTTGACATTTTTAACCAATTCCAATGGAAATATTGGCAATTCAGTGTAAATTCTCTTGATTTTATTATCTTTGGTGCAAGGAGCTGGATGAGAATGAAAAGCTAATTTTACTTATTAGGAATAGGATTTCACTATGTTCTTTTGAATGGAAGCAAAGCAGAGGAGTCCCTTTCCCAGTGATCTCTCTTTGCACAACACTTTCCTGCCATGAGATGTAAATTACATTGACAATTATGGCTTTCTTAGATATGGAGAAACATATCTGCTATCACTTACTCCAGTAAAATATTCCTTTGTTTGCACCGATATGATTGTAAAGTGAACCTTGTTTTGCTGTGTGTGTTGATGAGAAGGTACAGGGTTGGAGAAACCTTTGATTTCTTGATAGTACTAACGTTATATGAGCAGAGACAGGGGTATGCATGCTTCCTAATCCAAGACTCCCCAAAATCTGCTGGACTCTTTTCTGTTGGTTTCAGCAGGGTCTGAATCAGGCCCATAGTGGGGTTTCTGTTTCTTATTGTGGCTGCTTGCTCCCTTGTCACAGGACTGCTTGTGGACTACTTTTGTTTTTGTCATGCCACAGAGTCCATATCTCCTGCCAGAGAGTCAGTTGTTACAAGAACAGATGTTATTCATCAGGCAGACCGACGGGGCAGAGGCATTTTAAGGTAATATGACCTGCTGTTATGAGAAGTACCAGATCTTATTCTTGGACAAACAGAGCTCTCCTCTGCAAGCCCATGGGTGTTTGTGTGAGCTGCACAATATGGTACTGACTCCCATGGGCTTCCATAATTTATCCTTGTATACTAAGTGCATTCTTGCTAAACAGAGAATACCCAGAAAGGGCAAGATATTTCCCTTGTGACCTGAAAACCAACCAAGTTCATTTTCTGAAATATATTTTAAAATATATATGACTTTGTGGAATGCAAACACCATAATCACTGCATGGAAAACATCCAAAGCCAAGAAATGCACATATAAAATAATTCATTGTTCGATATTTGATGTGTAGCAGGGAAACATTTCCAATGTAATAGTTTCTTCCCTCTAAAGGATTACTCCATAGTGCTGAAAATAATTCCCTTCCCTTCTCTTGACTAAACAAGCGTTTCGGGCAGAATTAGGGGATTTGGAGGGCTACACGGTATGTGCACTTTTGGCCTGGAGTGATGCCAAGTCTTTTTGCAGTGAGTAGTTGACAGGCAGAAGCAGGGCATAGGTGGGTTGACCTGGACCCCCATGACACTCAAGGAGAAACATAGTCCAGGCTGGCACAGGCTGGAGTAAACCTTCACAGAACATTCTAGCAGCCGTGATCTGCTTCCCTTTCTTTCATTTATCTCGTTAGCAGCCAATGGGAACAGCAAAGCAGAGGTCTGACGGGTGAATTCTGTACGCTGGTTCATTATAATCATAGTGAGTGTGAGGAAGCAAAATGATGCCATTAAAGGTATTCGTCCTATTCCCTTGCATGCTCTGAGGAGGCCTGCAGAAACAGGAGAGCAAGGAGAAGGGACAAGGACTGCGTGTCACGTATCATCCTCAAACAGGAGATTCTTTGGTGTTACATCTTGCTGACTGTGTTTTTCACTTGCCCTGACAGGATCCCATCCCTTCGGTGCAGATGAATCTTGTAGCAATCATTGTAATTTTAAATTTAGAATATATCTCCAACATCTGCCATGAAATAGATTATGTTGTCTAACTGATAGGAAATGTTGTGAATATTGGAAAAAAAAAAAAAAAAGGCTGGTATGCCATGCCTGTCAAAGTTTGTTAGACAAATCCTTCCTCTGTATTGTGCCTATTGCCAAGTTAAATATGGTGAGGATTTAATGGCTTCTTTGAATCCTCTGAAACCGTATAAAGGTCAAGGACATGAAAGAGGAAACAAACGATCTGTACCTAAAAGTTATATTTGTGGTTTAAATGGGATTACCCAGGAACCCATGTGCATTGCTATTCTGAGCACTTTTCAGCATTTAACTCTCAAACAAAGGTAGAATTTACTTTTTTAACTTCTCCTTTTTGATCCAGTTCCTCTCCAGTCCAAATCTATGCAAAATGAATTTGATTTTTTGCTGTAGCAATAATAATTTTTTTTTTTCCTGAACCAATTTTGATCCTGAACTGCACTGGTTTTGATTGTAAATTCCTTCCTGGCACCATTTAAAACCACAGTGTGAAAGAAAAAAGAGAAACAAAATACCTAAGCCCGTGACAAATACACTAGCAATGTTAGTTAGAATTTATTACAGACGTAAGAGACATTATAGATCTTGTCTGGGTTTTTGGTAAACAATACATTTCAGAAAATTCCCAAATATCAAAAGACCAAAATCTTTACCACATGGGTCATCTTCTGAAATCTGTTTGAAATTAGAAACATCTTTGCAAAGTGTTACTGTATTGGTGTGGTCCATTCTTCTCATTTCATACATTTTTGTTTTTCTCGATCAACATGTGCTCTACAAAAAAAGATATTCTCTGGATCTACTTTTCCCAGTGTCATCATGAAGGGTATCTGAGGGCAAAAT